TTTAGCCCAAAGTGAAGCCCCTCCACATGACTGGCCTTGCATTTGGCCTGTGTTTCTGGCAGTGGGTCCTGTTCTTACCTTACTCCAAAAGGAGCTTACCTGCTTCTTTCTTCTATCTTGAATGAAGGGTGGCTATTGGTACCATCATCTTCAATGAGGCTTCACCTAACCCCCAGCATAATTGTAACTTACAGTTTGCATTTTAGGTTTACATATAAATTTGATAGAGTTTAAATGAGTAGTGAGTATATTTTACTATTTTTAAGTGAAGTACAGTACAGAAAACCACCTGTCGGATATACAGCACCTATTGCTGTGGCTTCAGCAAAAGAATATTGCTGTGGCTTCAGCAAAAGAATGCATAAACATGAGTGCCACATGCCAGGCTTAAAATGGTCTTTGATCTCTGAAGGGCTCTTGCAGAGCAGTTCACTTTTAATTGGGCATCTCAGTCCAAAACCTCCATAAATAGTAAGCAGCAATCTCTGAAATTTGAACTTCTCTATTCTTAATGTTTGTTACAAAGTATGAGTCACACTACTAATATGTGAAAGCCACTGTTACCGGTAACCTTGTCCAGTTGGAATTTCAATCTGAAACCCCCAGATCCAGAACAACAGTCTAGTACAGCATTGAAAAAAAAATTCCCTTAATCCTAAAACTACACACTCTAGGATAGTACTACAGGAGAGAGATAAGCTATAGAGGTTATGTTCCACTGCACCAGTAAAATGCAGCTCATGAGCCCAGCTCCATTTGAGTTCTTCAGTAATTCCTACTCTTCTCAAAGATCCATTTTGATGAGTTAGACATGTAGCTTTATCCTTGGGATGAGTGAAATCCTTGGGCGTTGAAGGGTTTGCCCATTCAGGCTTCAATGATCTTTTGAATGAAACCCACCAGAATGGAGAACATGCTATATGCTGAGAATGACTGAAGGTACTTAGTCCATGAGCTCAGAGCTGTAAATAGATCTTGCTTAAGCAGCAAGGTACACGGCATCTGTACTTATAGACAGCATGGCAGTGGTCGAATGCATGAACTGCCAGGGAAAGCCTTGCTGCAGGGATCTTTCTTTTTTTCCTGGGAAGAAAGAAACCTGAGGCCTACCAAATATGCATATCCTGAGGGAGAGAAACTTGCACACTGTTTCTTTTGTGAGGGGAATGCAACTTCTTAGAGAGTATCTTCTGACTGCTTTGAAGCCAGAAGTAGGTACATTCCAAGGCTGCCTACAAGTAATGCAGCAATCTCTCTTGGTTCCATGGCATTAACATGTAATTTGTTTTTCCCTGATTCTGCTGCCGTGCAAAGTCTTAAGAAAAATAAATCAAGATTAAGTCAGGCTGGTGTAATTACAGTGCTCTGGGGTGTGAAAAATCGACTCCCTTGAGCGCAATAGCTATGCCAACCTAACCTCCCGTGTAGCCTCAGCTTAGGTCAATGGAAGAATGTTGACCTAGCTACTGTTGCTTGGAGAGGTGGAGTTCCTACAGTGATGGGAAATCCTCCCTTCCCCTCCTCTGCATTGCTGTAGGAAGCATCTGCCATATGGCACTATCGTGGCATAGCTATGGCGCTGTACCTGAGCCACTGTAGCGCCTGTAGAGTAGACCTGGCCATAGTCTCATAAATTGAGCCATTGAAGGACTCCTTTATATGGACCGTCTTAAGTGTCTTGAGGACACAGTCCCTTTTTTCAAAATCCCTACTGCAGTAGGATGTACTGACCCTTCATGCACCACTTTTTTCTTAGTCTGTTTTCCTGGCTGATGAGAGAAGCTTTTTAAATAAATTGAAAACTTAAAAAAAGTCATAGAGATGCTGCTGTCCTATAGGAAGAGAATCTCTGTAGTGTACTATAGTTTGGACACTTAGTGGTCTCCAGATTTTTTTTCAGTTAGTCTGACCTTCTCATCATTCTTTGTTTTGTACAGATGTACTTGAATAAAGGCCTCTCATTTGCCATTAGAAGAAGAGTGAGGCTCTCCCCCTTAGGCTTGGTCTACACTAAACCCCCAAATCGAAGTAAGGTACGCAACTTCAGCTACGTGAATAACGTAGCTGAAGTCGACGTACCTTACTTCGAACTTACCGCGGTCCACACCCGGCAGGCAGGCTCCCCCGTTGACTCCGCGTACTCCTCGCAGCGAGCAGGATTACCGGAGTCGACGGGGAGCACTTCTGAGTTCGATTTATCGCGTCCAGACAAGACGCGATAAATCGAACCCAGAAGTTCGATTGCCTGCCGCCGAACCAGCGCGGTAAGTATAGACAAGCCCTTAGTCTCCCATTCCCTGTGAGACTTAGCGTGTTTTTGATTTCCTTCTAGGTCTTACATCTCATGCTGGAGCTTAGCATGTTCTTCATGACCTGTGTCACTCTGCCTTTGAACTCTGTTCTCCTCTCTTTTATCATGTAGAGTATAGGTGTTGGTGACAATTACTTTGATCAGAATGTTGGAAAAGACTGACTGCTCCCTTGGATGTCCTTGGATGCTCTTTCATTAGGATAAAATGGTCCTGTTCATGTGCCTTATTTTTCTTTTCAAGTTTGTCATCTTGTCACCACAACTGCGATGCTCTTTGATTAGTTTCTGCTCTAGATTCAGGGCAAAAGAAGGAGAATATGGCATAATCTGAGTGTTCACAGGGCATATTTCAGTCTATTCTTCCAGGAACTCAGACTACAGACACCTGGACGCCTGTTTCTTCTGAAACAAAGAACCAGGGCTTGCTGGTCCTCCAGTTCATATGGGCCAGATGCTATATGGCTCATTTAGAGTTGATGCCTACAAAAGAGCAGTCATATACTGCCCATTTACACACACAAAATCTTACCTGTCAATTCCTTGGAGTTTCAGCTTCTAGTTCAGATACCTGCCTTTTTTTAACTGAGCTAAAGGTTTAGTATAAGTATCCCTCTATATTAACATATGAGTTTACCTTTAAAAGGCGAACTGTTTTCTTCTCTTGTGAAAAGTTTTTAGTTTTCATTGGGAGTAATGTTTGGAGAAGCTGGTGGGAGTGTTTGGAGCCTAACTGCATGCCAAAATGCAAACTTTTCTTTGGTGGCTCTCATAAGTACAGGGCAGGCATTACCCGTATAAGGCAGGCATTACCCGTTAGCCTGCGTTGCTGGAACGGTTTAGCAAGTAAGAAATTCTCCTTTAAAATAGTATTTGTAAAAATGTGCTAGATGTCTGCATAATGTGGAATATGAAATAAACTTGTCTGGTATACTTAGGCTATGTCTACACTGCACACTTCTTGTGGTGGTGTATAGGGTATTTGTAGCTACATGCTGCAATTTAAAGCAAGCTACATCCACACTGGTGTGTGGCTACATGTGCCAATGGAAGACTCTGGTAGGGGGAGGCAGTGGGAAAAGGCTTGCTGGTGGAGAGCTGCCAGAGCCTTTCCCCATTGCTGGAGCCTTTCCTTGCAGTGAGGAAAAACTCCAGCAGCAGGGAGATATTGGGACACTACACTGCTAAAAATAACAGCATAGAAACCCAGACACTGTTTGGGTGAGAAGAGAGCCCTGTATGGTACATACCCACCAGGTTCAGGAATATGTTTACTCACCTCAGCAGTGCCTCATGGTCTACGCCGCTATTTATTCCCATGTTGAGTGTATATATTCTGCACACTGCTGAAAGGAGTGTGCAGGGTAGATATACCCTTAATCTCATTTGTGGCATAGGTCACAGCCATTATGCTGTGTTTTCCTACTGAGATAAATGATTGCATCTATTGATGATGTGCTGTTTGCTTTTAACTTTAGAGTTTTTGTATTGTAGGAT